GTGGCTCCTTGAGGGGGTATAAGATGCCGGATCCATCTGCGAGATGACCGATGGCCGTCTGACCTTGCAATCCCGTCAACAAGGTTTATCGTCGGCTCCAATTAATCCGAACATCCGAATCTCATCGATAACACTGCGTTCAATTATAGACAAGTAAAGAAGTGTTGAATCTATCACAGGTGACAATGCCTCTTAGATGCGCTCTCTGTGGGATTGCCATCCCCTGCCACCACCAACCAGACCAACAACAACAACAAGTTTGGTGGCGCAAGATCTTCGCTGGTAATAAAACAGAACTTTGCCGGTAGCTGAAGCCATACTGACATCCTCTAGTCCAGCGTGAAGAAGACCAGAGTGAAGAAGACCAGTCTCACTTCTCGCTCGTGCCTCTCGGATATTATGAAGATGGGTCCTTGGAACCGCACCCAGTCATCCCGCCGAATGAAGGATTCTTCATCCACCAAGCATGTTGGCCCATATACCGCGACCAGATGTTCTTGAACTCAGAGCGACGCTATGACACCAAGCAGATCCTGCAGGCGTTGTTTGACTTCATGCAGAGTATGCCTAGCAATAGCGATGGTTGGATATCGTATCTTCGCCATCAGAATGAACCGGCGGTGTTTCTTGCCACGTTTGCAGGCTACCCTGGCTACTGGGATTTCTTGAAAGCCGATCCAAGTATAGCCGTCACCCATCCAAATTCGCATCGCTTTGTTGATGGAGGCACTTACGGTACGCAAGCATCGTCGGACGTCTTCTCCAGCCTTTCTACCGAGTTGAACTATTGTGTCATCAATTTGCTAAATACCGTGTCTTTTTGCAACCTTCGACTTGCATCAACGACTATTGCGAACCTCAGCAAGCCTGGCGATATTCCTCAAGCCTTCTGGGCAAGTCGTTTCACCCGTGACCACGAAATGAACTTCTTTCCGATGGAACACGACAGCACTGAGACATGGCGAGATCTGTACTTCAACCTCAAGTATTCCCTTAAAGACAGCTCTACAACAGGACACATGCGAAATCGGCTTCGGATCTGGAAGGGTCTTGACCAGATCACGCCCTACATAATCGCCATGCTTCAACAGCGTCCATGCCTGAAGGATACAGCTCAATTGAGAGAGGATATAGCTTCAGCGGGATATGAATTGACCCATAAGATACAAGGGTTTGAAGGCGTACCAGGCACAAATCCCTCCGGGGGCATCAAGGTTACAGGCTCGCGATACCTGAACCTGCGAGGCGGTGCATGGATCTCGGTTACCAGAGGGTCTATCGATGGGAGGCAGTATATATTAGGCTTTCGGGTACAGAGGCGAGACGGAAAGGAGAAGTTACGCATTGGCCTGATTAACACTAACAAAGAAACAACCTTTTTCATTAAGGAAACTGATCAGGTCATCGCTTTGAAGGTGGCGACGACCTTTGGTGGTATAGTTGGACTTGCCTTTAGGATCAAGGATAAGCTCAGTGGAGTAGATTGGAAGATCGTGGGCAAAGTCGGCGCACTTGACGATTATGTTGGCATCAAAATCCTAAAGCCGCAAAATGGCCGATACATAAGCGGTCTGCTGCTTGGCCTCGATGTACGTCTTGATCTTCACTTTACAGGGAGCAACTAACGAGTTTAGGCTTGCAAAGTCGTTTCTATCCAGCTGGTAGAGAAGATAGGCGACGCTACTGCTATCAACAGTTCAGGACAGCATGTATGGCACCCTGCACCGCCTCAACCTGACGTGGTTACTATATTGCCTCGCACCATCGATGCAGCAGCATCGCAACCTACTTTCATCATGAACATGGACTTTGGCGGCCCTAGCGGCTCACTGCTCCCACTCCTCACTAGAATCGCCATATTCCACGATCATATAAATCACAATGTCAGAGGCTTGGGCTTCTACTACAATGACGGAACAGAAAGGGAGTTCGGCTTCCGTGAATTCTTAACTGATTATCGATGTCGAGACACGGCCCTTGAAATGTCTGTTTCTATCGATGGACCGGCTGGCGAGAGAATTGTTGGCGCTGCTTTCTTCCCGGACTCCATCACGGTAAGTCGCGTCAATCATTCCAAAGACAATATCAGCTGACAAAAAGTACGAGATTCAGATAAATACTAATTTTGGGCGGTTGAAGACTCTTGGGGATATGGATCCCTCACAAACAAGGAATTTTCTGGTTTCGCCTCATGGAGAGACTATAACTGGATTCCTGGGACATATGCGTGTGAGTTTTGTCACGATCCATGCTATCTAAGTCTTTGTTTGAGATACTAACTGGCACTTCGCAAGATGGCTCCATTGTCTGCGACACTAGAATCCATGGGACTTGTACATCTTGACCATCTGGAGTCAGTCTCGCCCAAGCCGCCGCCAACCACGCCCAGCTACTACAAAGGCCTCCTAGGAGGATCAAGGTTTGTTCGTCTTGACGGCGTCAAGCGCGTGGGTATCTCATGCGGAAGAACGGGACGCAACCGACGTCCAGATCATGTATCAGGCCTCTACTTCGAGTTCTGGGACGGAAGACCACCCGTGTATGTTGGTCAGTGGTTTAAAGAGATTGGCCATCTTGACGTTGATCGAGGTGAAAGAATCACGGGCTTCACCTTCTGGAACGAAGTGCAGAATTGCGCGTGCCATCATGGTAGAAATTCCAGGTACAGCGGAGTACGGATCGAAAAGTCTGGTGCTGAACCGAATGCTGTCGAGGTGCATCCTGGGCCACACGGCAATATGCACGAAACATGTTATGCAGAGAATCGCTTCGAGAGATTGGTAAGTCACCCAAATGTCAAGGACTAAAGGCTAACTCTGTTTCAGGAAACCTTTGCTTGGTTTACTTCCCATGATCGCGACGCTAACGACGTTAAAGCGAAACCTACACCGTTGGTCAAGAACTGCCTTTCGAGCGCATCGAATATACGCGAGGAAGTATGTACAAATAGCGACAAGCTCTTCTGGGAGATAGAAGATGGCAAGGGAGGCTGGACGAGTGTGTCTCAGATCGCCGCGTTCTTTAATCCTACGAACAAGCGACTCTGCGGTCTGGGGTTTACATACAAGGATAGCCAGGTCAAACGCGGTGGGTATACCGAGGGAACCAAAGCGATTTTGAGAGTCAAATCACACGAAAAGGTCACAGGCGCATCATCCAGCGTTTCGGCAACAACTGTCGACGGTGGCGTTGATATTGTATCTGTAAGTTCTCTCTACAGCTTTCTGAGTAACATAGCTAACTGCCAAAGTTCGTTTTGGGGGATAATCGAAGAATGATGATGGACTTCAGTGGAGTGAAAGTCGATGATTCGGATCCCGACCAAGTGCTCCCTTCACAGGGTCATGCGGTTCCGGTGGCGAGAAAGGTGCCCGATGGGGCGTCGAAGTGTGTTGGTGTGTACCTGGAAATGTGGCCAGACGTGAAGCGCAAGGTCTGTGTTCAGAATTTTGGGTCAGTGTATGTTGAGCCAGCAGATGAGTAGGGAAAGAGATGAACGAGACAGATACAGTTAGGATGACTTGACATTTTTGATCGGATCAAGAATCGTTGGGGCTTCATTCAATAGACGTAATTGCGCTAAATATTCTTGATGAGTCTGAGGACAGCCCATCGACACGCAATCCCAAGCAAGGCTTATAAACCTTAATAGTGCGCCCCTCGAAATCATTAGCAAATACAACATCCTGAACCTAGACAAATTGACTACGCGCCTGCTACTTTTATCTTTGGCTAGGAATGTTCAGGGTAGGCAAGTATCCTATCGTCACTAAGGCAAAACTCTATCATATCAGGTTTCCAGGAGAGAATGACAAGTTATAACCAATTAAAATGTATATTACATACGCTGGAGAGCGAAAATGGGCTTGAATTATGGCTGGGTGAAAGGTAGTGGCAGCCGATACTTACCACGCCGAGCCGCTACACACAACTTGAAAAGATCTTCCATGACGTTGCGCGATTAAATGCAGTTTGTAAGATGAGCTGTTGTCCAAGTTGGAGTTCAATGAAGTCTTTTTCCTGTTTTCAATATCTGATCCTCCTCGTCGGAGCGTGTCAGTACCTCTGTAGGGTAAGCAAGTTAGAAAAACAATTTTTTAGCGAATAAACAATTCAACAGCAGGGTTCGCATATGGCATTGCTGGACTTCATGCAGCTGTATAACTAGATCTCGTAAGTTGGCTAGTCAACGTGGAGGTTTCTCTCTTTCCGAGTTCAGGTCTTGTGGGAGGGAAGCTATAGGGTAAGCATATTGCACCTTGCCACAATGCTATCTGAAGAGAACCAGTTTAATATACACTCTCGAACATCTGTTCTGATGGCGGCATCGCTGTATGGTGTCAACACATTTGCTGTGATGAATTGCGAAATTTGTTTCCATTGCCACTCTTGTGCGACGGGTATAGGGTAGCCAGGCCCACATTTCCCAGCGAGGTTGATTTAAGCTTGTGGGGCCAGGAGATTGGACATCCAGAGATTTACACAGGGATTGCAAAACCCCGCATCATGTGATCAAGAATCTTGACCACAACATAAAGACTTTTTCTGCTTTGCTGTCAGCAAGAGCAGGCATCGCCTGTTTTTGCTAGTGACTTTTCAGTGCATTATCTAACGTGTCGCCGATACTGCATGAGGATTGTAAAAGTGAGGTCACGTGATATTGGAGAAAAGTAGGATAGGAGGATAGGAGAAAAGTAGGACAGGAAAATTATAAGTGAAAAGTCATCCGATATTTAAACTGTCATTCACCATGAGATCTCTTAACTTTAAATACAGAACAGCCATTTAACAAAGGTCTAAACCTGTCTTTGTGAAACGCCGAAATCTAACTTTCATTCTGGCTTATTGAGTTTTGTCCACAAAACATGCCAGCAATAGGGCAGAGCGTGCGTCAGCCCTGCCATGACTCTAAAAAAGGACCGCGGTCCTGTTACTTCATTTTTCTAACATTTCCAGTATTTGCGATATCTCTACCGCAGATCCTACTTCCCGAGGTCGCCATGCCGCTCCTGCTTGCACCCTACAATGACAGCATGCGTCTGGTATGTTTTTTTCACGGCATATTAAAATTGACCGCTCTTGACACTTACCACGAGGACGGCTCATCCATTCTGTCATACAAAGCCTTGCTTGAGATCATTCGTTGACATCTATCTGTAGGGCATGGGGTTCAACTCGTACACCCAGACACTGTGCATCGACGGCGCCGTCGATGCTACAGATGAGACCATGATAACTACGGAGACACTCCAACCGAAAATCACGTCCTCGTCCAAGCTCTTCGAACGGTTATCCGAGGTCATCGACATGATGGATATTTCACCAGCTGCCACCATGACGACTGGGAGGATGGAAGTCCACGGACACATGAATGTATTTAACGATATTAAGATCGACGATGCTGATATTAGTTTGATGGTATCAGTGCGGGTGATGAGTGAAATCACCAGTCTAAAAGGCTCTGCGAGATTCCTTCCAATCGATGGCAGGGAGGCTGGCTCGCCCAGATTCAGCGAGACGTTCGGAGACTCCTACATCTCCGGTATGTTTTAACCAGACTCACTTCTCCTGCTACATGCTGACCATGGCAGGCTTTATAACAGGCGGGCTGTTCATGAACATCGTCTCTTTCATCGCCTCTGACCTGGAACACAAGGATAAGATGATTGAAGCATAAGAATCTAACAAATCATTGTGCATCAAGCTAACTTCCGTAGTGTCAAAAAAGGCTTAACCGGCTCTGCCATGGACTTGAGGAACATCTGTAAAGAAGTTGCGATCACATCTATCAACCACGGCGTAGAGGTAACAGGCGTCACAGACGTGGCGTCTATACTAAGGATAGCCGGCGAATTTCCTGCTCTTGTCGCCCAAGATCCTCAGAGAACTTGGTAATATTAAGTATTATGGCACTGAATCTAGGCTAATGAACAGTAGGGCCATACTTATCAAGTACAAGGCAAATCGCAGCTTCATCGAATGGTCAAGACATCAGATCCTGAAGCCGCTCGATTATGACAGTGTTGCGTCATATACGTCTAAGCTCTTTGACAACTACATCCAGTACAACCACTTGTCAAGAAAGGTTCAGGATATTATCTCTCAACGAGACAAGTATTGTATGCCTGGAGTTATTCTGATATGATACCTAAGCGAACTGACAGATGTTTTCTAGCTCAGGTCGACAAACCTAGGGCTATTCCGCTTGAACTCAACACTCTTCTGGCTGTACGTAGTGCGCTGGATAAAGAGATAGACAAGATTGTTGCAGTGGTAAGTTCAATTAGTTGCCTCCCTAAATTGTCTAACACCTTACGAACTAGGTGAAAACTTTGACACGACACCCAGAGCTTCTGCCCGAGATCGACATTCTCAACGCGAATCTCAAGGATGGTCTTGTGCAAAATATCGTTAATGAGGTCCTTTGGGCATTTTCTCGGCCTATACCGGAAGAAGAGTCCATGGTGCAAGAAGATCCTTTCTTGTCTTCTGTTGCGGGCCGCGCCCTGAGCGAGTCGAGCAGCGGCGTTGAAGAGCTTCATACACCTCTTACTTCTGATATTGACTCTTGTAGTATCAGTGGCAGATCGCTTATATTCCGAGATGAGACAGAGCCCTCCACTGATCTGGCAACGCGAATGCTGGTCCCGCCCGAAGTTTGGGTGGACTTGCTCCCTGTGAAAAATGATCCCCCGACCAGTCTCGTCAGCCAGCCAGCCAAGACCGCTCCAGCACTCAACACTCCAGCACCCACCGTCAACTACAAAGAGCTCCAGATTCTTGCCGCTATATGTGGACCGTACGACGTGGCTGCTAGGCTCCAGAATTGGGTGAGTCCCGGAGAAAACGGAGACCGGCTGGTCATCCCCTTGGAAGACATCAAAACGCTTGAGGAAAACGAGGGCCGCAGGGGCTTACCACCAGGGACCAAGACCAAGCTGTGGTTCGTCTACAAGTACACTGATATGCCCATACGTGTCTTTTCACTTGATTATGACGCGCAGTCAACTGAAACACTGGAGATTACGCATGATGGCTTGGAAGGTGCTGTTTTCTATACGTACTCGAGACTCAAGGGAATTCAGAGCGCCGTTTCCATGGGTACCGCGGGAAGCACGTTCGTGGATCAACGACAACTTGCCACCAGAGCCGAGATAGCCAAAGGGGCCACAGATAGCCTCCCGGAGAAGGAAAGCAAGGAGGTCAAACCAAGCCAGGTCGCTTTGGCCAAAGCATCCACGCATCTGGTAAGTCAGATAGTGGACATAACTCTGTACAATCACTAACCTGTCTACTAGACTACTCTTGTACCTTCCAGCGCGGCACCCTAAAAGTCAGTCCCTCCGAGACGCCCTTTCTACAGTTCGAGAATGGCGTAAAGTTTTTCTTCCGGAACAACGGTAGATTTGAAGTCCTTGACAAGCATGATGAGGTCTTTTGGTCCAGCGAGGAGGCACCCAAAGGTAGGTCCCCTCGGCTGTTAGAATTCTGCTGTGACGGCATCTTGCGGCTCTGGAACACCGACGGACAGGTATACTGGACGCCCTTGATGAAGAACTTTACTCGCCGTGAAACAAAGTTGGTGCTTTCAAGTGAGTTTCCATACTTGGAGATTGACAGTGAGGGGGGGCAGCTCTGGGGAACACATGGCCTGCAATGGGCGTAGACCGAGAATGCATGATATCCCGGGTAGGAATTACGAGGGAAAAGCAGAACAGGAGACACATTCGATTGCTATGAAAACAGACACTTTATCAATGTAGAGTTGCACTGTTATTGAGCTATCTATCCTGGGCTGGACCACACGCGGTAATGATGAACAGCCAAGTCATCACTCAGTTCAGATAGCAGAACAATAGGTTAATGGCGAGGCTTAAAATCACTTTAAGGTCCCGTTCTCGTTACATACCTACGAAGCATATTTACAACTTGTACACAACATGGAGTCTGATCCTAATCGAGTACCTAAACCGGGCTCTGCCCTAATTCTGCTTAGCCATTGTCAAATGCAGCTGTATGAATAGTTACTGTATAATATTGGCCATCGACCTCCCAGGTAAGTTGTGGGTGTATAGAGCTCAGCTGACTTCAGGCTACGGTGTCAGTTCTTGACAGATGTCGAAAGCGGTGTTGCCTGGGCCGGCGAGGCTACAAGTGCCACGAGTCCCGTCAATTTCTGAACCGTGATGGTTCAATTTTTATCGAAAAACGAGAAGCCTAAAGAGAAGTCCATTCAAGACTACTGTCTGGTATCCCTAGATAAGTCTGGGATTAGTATCGATACCGATGGGTCACCGGCGTCGGCAGCATTGGCTCTGTCAACCTTCAGACATCAAACATTGCAGTCAATGCTACGGGCGTATTGAAGGTGCTTGAGCGGGATAGGCCTCTTCCGTAAGAGGCGCTTAGAGCCTTGGTAGAAGGGGTCTCTAAAACCCAAGTTTGGCCCATCAGTGAGGGAAGGTCAGTTGGCTCCATCTAGGGACAACGACGCATGTGACAGATATGGTCGATTTATAGGTCTATATAATAGTATACCTGCTCTTAGGGCTAGCTGAAATCTGATGGTACTTCCTCACGTGGAGAAATCGAAGTGTTGGCTGTTTGGGGCCAACCGGATCATGGAAAATCTTCCAGCATCTGTCACGGTACAGGCCCTCGTAACTGATATATCGATTTCGTTCTTAATGGCCTAGAGCTATATCAATACTTCAAAAGCGAATATTGCATATGACATCTACAGCGAGGGCCGTTCCCCTTCAGTTGATATGGATGAAATGCACATCAGGGTCTGTCAGCAAACGCCCTATAGCCAAGGTGCCCCCGTCTCTTCCCCGTAACCTAGGAAGTGAACCCTGTGCTCAACCAAATTGCCTCGCTTACGTAGGACCAGTGGTGGGGGATGGAATTGACTCTCAGGGATTGCCGTTCGTACTGACAAGACTGGGAGGCTCGTTGCGCCAATGCAGCTCGTCGCTCGTCGCCATGAACTGAACCTACGTACTTACTGAAGCAGGCCCCTCTAATATCTCAGTCTTTGCAATCTATACAGAAGTAGACTCTAGAATGCTAAATTGCGCGGCTTGAATTGAGCTGCTACATTTGAAAGCTTAATGCCGCATCTGCTTCCCAACATGCTGCCGCCTCACTCCTGCTTGCGGCACAGAAGGAAATGGCCCGATTACTCGACTGGACTCTATTACCTTTCACAGACTGTACAGCATGTGGCAAGACATCAGTGCAGCACTGAGTAATAACGCCGTGATACAGGTGTTTATATCCCTCAGTCGCTGTGTCATCCTGAACAAATCCGGAACATCCGGAACCATCACCGGCGGCCCGAGATATCTCCCTCAGCTTGCGAAATCCCCTCATTACGTCAAATCAGGTTACTCTGCCCGTCAGAAGACGAATGCGACGGCTCCGATCTCGAGTGGTATTGCGGATGCGATTTGTGGAGTTTCCCGCAATCACATGCATTAGTTCACTGATCATCTGCTCCTCTACAGAGCCTCAGCGTAACCTCAACCGAAATAGTGGAGTATTATCGACAAAGCACTAAACAGTATTGGCTGAAGAAACGGTGCATGGCCACTGTGGCGACAGAATCAACGGCAGCCTCTCTTCCTCAACATCGTCTCAAGCGTTGATCCCGAGCCCGGGCAATAAGCCCCCAAACTACAATCTCACTCATCAATGCTCAAACGCGCGGGGCTTTCCCCAACTTCCCAATTCAATCTCATCACTCCACGTTGATCAGGAGATAAAAAGTCACAGTAACATGTTATGGCACCACTTACCCCAAACGCGGGCACGTATCGGAAGCTCGGCCGTTCATTTCCCCGTGGGGTTAAAGGGTCTCACATGCTTTGCGGCTCCGAGAAATATTGGGGTACGCCCCGGAGATACGAATGTCATCGCCCCCTCTCCATTCCGGAAGTGGTAAGATTTTGGGGTTTCAGAGGGATATAAGGGCTTGCTTGGCGCCTACACTTTTTTGTCTTCTACTTTATAGCTTTATGAAGAGAGAACATCACCAACCTTCTACACTTATCGTTATCTTATCAACCGGACCATCACATTCCAGTCATGTCTATAGTGCAACCTATCATCCGAGATCAACTCGTCATCCACGACGATGATGACTGGGACTCAGTGTACCACGTCGAATGGGAGCCCGATGCCAACTTCTTCACCGGCTCTGAACTTCGACCCAGAACACCACTATGCAAGGCGACAGCCGATCACCAAATCACACTAGCCCGCGCCGCAGCGCTGATTATTCGCGCATCTCTTAACAACATCCCGTTAGATATCCCGGACTTTGATCCTTACAAACTGACCGGCTTCCGGAAACAATTATACCAATGGATGCAAGCGTATAACTCGTCTCAGGCGAGTAAGCTTGTGCTAGGTGATGTGACGATGACGGTTACGATTGAGATCTTATCGTCGCTTACGCGCATGGGCGTGGAAGGAGAGATTTTGGCTAAGATTGGACCAAATCTGGGAGGCATTTTACAAGGAACTAATAATCCGATGTCGCTGCTTTTGGAAGGCAACAGGTTCAATCGGATGCAAGACGGGATGGAGCTGATACAGAAGATGAGAGGGCATCTCCGACAATACCTCTCATCATACGCGGCAAAGAAACCTGTTTTGAACGTCCTCGAGGTCGGCGCCAGTACGAGCAACAACACACAGACGATATTCGATGCGTTACGAGAACAGAAGAGTGTATCATATACTCTTACCGACTCGTCGCTTTCAGTGCTGGAGCAGACCAAGGCGGGCACCACCAAAGACTTCCTCAAGCTTAAGAGTCTTGACATAAACCGCGATGCTATTGAGCAAGGCATCAATCCCAATACCTACGACATTATTCTCGTTAACAACATCCTTCATACAGTTAACTCTCTCTCGGAAACACTGGCGAATTTGCGCAAACTTCTCGTCCCTGGCGGTGTCCTCGCTCTCGTCGGATTGTCAGACATATCACCCGCTTACAGCCTGATCTTGGGTATGAATGAGAATATGTGGCCAGGTACGTGTTCTACTACTCACATTGACCATTTAGAGTCACTGACAAGTGATTTAGATGAACGGTGTGAACAATTGCCATACCCTTCGAACGATGATTGGAACAAGCTGCTGCAGGGTAGTCAGTTCAGCGGGCTCGAACCAGCGACGAAGACATTCGACTACATCGGCCAATCCTGCTACTGTGTCATCTCAACAGCGGTGGCTTCGACTCAGCGACTAATGGTTAATATTCTACCGGGCTCAAAGGACAATCTGTTCAGCTTTGCGGACCAACTGGCTTCCGCACTGGCAGAGAACGGGACAGCGTCTACAATCACGCCAGCACGTCTAGAAGATATCTCGTCACGATTCATTTACGTCGTTCTCGATGATGGATCCAGCTCCCTTAGCGAGTATCAAAGTCTCCACAAAGCGAATAACGTTCTTTGGATCAGCATGGGGGCTGGGCTCTCGACCCAACGTGAAATGAACATCATCAGTCGTTTCGCTCGCGACGCTCAGAAGGATAACGAAAACCTCAAGCTAGTGAAGCTCGACGTCAAGCAGGAGTATCCAGAGTATGCAGACCTTCTTAAAGTTGTCATGCGGATTATACAGGTGTCGTTTCAAGAGGATCGTGGTTCCAGGACGGAGTTGGAGTATGAGTATCGGAATGGGAGGGTTCTTGTACCAAGGGTAAAGGGATCTGGTATGACACAGAAGTTTGCTTGAAGGGATTAAGCCAGGCAGAGGGATGGACCTTAACGATTTGGAGTTAGTTTTGTCTTGGGGGCACAGTTCGGAGTACGCTTTGAGTTGTTCATTGGAGTTTGAGATAGCACTTACATCGGGCATTCGTATCAAATGTCCCTTCGTTCGCTGAATAAAGTACTGTTTGTAGTCGCCCTTTATCTTCAAATTGACTTCTAGTATCCTACAGACAGTTCTGACCCCTTTTGATGAAGCCCCCTGATCGATGGAGCAGGACACTTGGGAGGTTCATGAGAAACCTAGGCTGCTCATTATTTACGTTACTATCGTTAATTAAGGACATGTATACGCTTCAGTATTGGCGAGCCTCCGCTCGAACAGCTTATAATGCTCAACTGTTCTGTGCCCAGATGCCTGTCACGTAGGAACCCACGAAGCCATGATACGTGTAGTGCTAGCTGTCCCGTTTTCTGGCAGTGCCAGAAAGCAAAGGAGAACAGAGACTACCGTCATCTCTTAAAGAATTGGGTCTGCCAGTGTCAAACAAGTATCCATAATACCTGATATACCTCCTACTCGATCATCCCTCCGTCTTGGAATCACTTCCTCCTCTCTCAACACTCTTCCATCTCTCACTTCCCATTACCCAACAACATCTGACAATCTGTACCCTATCTCAACACACGCTATCTTCATCGCATCCCTCAAGTGTCGTCTTCTAGTCGCTGGTTGTCAATACACCATATTATCTTCTTGTCCCCCAATATCTATTCATTCCCAACAAGGTTGGCATTATCTGTTGTATTGTCTCGCCTTGGACCTTTAGACTAATACTCTACCGTTGTAGCGACATCGGCTCTTTGACCGTCTCAAGATCCATCTCTCACATGATGTCAGACCTAGTCCCCACTGGAATGTCTGAGTTGGATATCT